TAAAACGAGTTGGCCACAATTTTTTAAATAATTTCTTCAATTCGAGGATAAAATTTTCAATCGATATACCATAAAATACTTATATTTTCGATCGAAATCCTACGAAAGGAGTAGACAAGAAATTCCTTCACTCGTCTATGCGAGCAAACAGCTGAAAACAACTCACGTGGTGCGCAGTAGGTTCGATGATCCTTACTTCGGCGTGACCTTCGTTGGCTATCCCACAGGTTCAATGCACGCTTGTTGTACGTATAATCTCGTAACCAGTTACGTCTTACTCGAGCTTGGAAAATGCCTCCTTCCTTTTATGCTATTCGTGAAACTCGACCTTTTACAATTTTGCACCGAATAGATATTCTTCACGATTATTCGAGTTTCCTTTTTTCGCGATGAAAATTCTAAAATTGTTAGATTTGTTGAAAAAAATTCAACTATTTACAACGTGAACTTTTTTTCTTTAAATTTACTCTTCCTTTAGACAACGAATTTCTCTAATTCTTTTCGCATGTTTCTAGGGGATTTCTAGGGAATTTCTAACTTGCAAATGATAACGAACTATATCTAATGAAATTATATAACAGTTCCCATGCTATAATTAGAATATTTTGTAAAGCAATAGAAAGATATCTTTATCAATTTTTTCACAATTAGAAAGAAATATTATTAAATTCCTTATACAACAAAATAAATAAGCTTCTGGTTTAATTTGTGTGCAAACATTCATAACAACATAGTAGAAAATACATATGGTAATTTTTCAATTAAAAAAATTAATTTTTATATAAATATTATATTAATTTCCATGTTTCTAGAGTTAAAAGAAATCGCACATTGTTTCCAGTGAAAAAAAAAAGAGAAAAAAAAAAAGGTATTCGAAAGAAAGGAGAGAGAAGAGACTTTCACTTCGCCCAGGGTCGTTGCGCTGACGTTTCTCACGCTTCTCTTTGTGCATTGATTCCTCGAGTCTTCGAACGATAGTTTTCTCTTTCACGAATCCATCGTTCCGTGTTTTCCTCACGAAAACCGAGACGTTTAACGAAACGAACGTTAAGTTCCGAAACGAATCGATGTTTCATGCCGCATTATCCTTCAATGGAGATTGACATAATCGGCCTATTCAAATCGATTATCCATCCCTTAAAGAGCTCGCCACTTCGTTTCCTTCGTTTCAGTCTACTGTGGTAACCAACAGCTATTGTTAACGCGTTGAAAGGAAAATTGAGCTATGATCCCGTATCAAATTGTAATAACTTTAATTAAATTAATTAATTAAATTGTGAGCCAAGATAATACTGAAAAAACCTTAAATGCATTAATAATATATGAATAAAATTTTTATACTCTCTCAAAATGAATCTTTGAATGATTTTTCGAAAATTTTGTTTTAAAAGCATAGAAGAAGAAAAAAAAAACGATAGTCTTACTTAAGTCTAGTTTCTTTTTTTTTAACATTTATTACATACGTTTTTATATTATATAGATATCTTGCAACTATTTATCTTTTGAAGCTATCATTATAAAAATCATTTAATCTTCGAAAAAATAGTTTTAATAGATAACAATTATTCTATCTCTACTGAATTCTTTCTTATTTTGTAAATAAAGTATATAAAGAAAAAAATAACAAAAAATAATTTAAATTTAATCTTTCGATTAGATATATGAGATAACAATTGCATACCCTATCTTAGAAAACTTGTTGTATCGTTAGAGATTTCGAATTGCACATACGTACTCATCGTCAATGACCTATGACGTGGGTCTCTCTTTGCGTAATATCGTTTTCGTAATAAAACTCTCATAAAACTCCGAGTCTAACCACGTTTCAAGGGCCTATAACGGCAAAAGGCCGTGCCTTGGCGGCCATAACATATACACTATCGTGATAAGGGCTGCATCGAAGAGGAGGCGGACTAGAGAAATAGATTTGGCTCCGGGCTCGGTTTCGTTCGCCAAGGTCGTGCACACGCGTGACGTCAGGGATCGTTGACTCATGGGGGCTCGACCTCGGTGTCTTCTTCTTCCTCTTCCTCTTGCCTTCCTCGCTTTATCTCTGTCTCGTCCACGCCTTTAATCGTGCCTTCAACTAATTTCGAGGCCGATTATAATGTAAGATATAAATTTTGAAAAAATTTTTTTTTCTTTCCTTCCTTTCTTTTGAAACATTTGTAAACGCAATCCTTGGATGTAATGAATTCTTTGTGAAGCTCTTCTTTGTGAATTATTAATAGATTTAAACTTTTTTGAAGGAAGAATCGAATTTTTGTTCAGTTGAATCTACGATATGATAATTTGATACGATTCATTTTATTTACAAGGAAATTAATTATTAAATTTTGAATCACTTCATATTATATATTTTATTTGAACTTTGTTCTTGATTTCATTTGTCACGTATTAATAAATCGTTTGATCAATTATTCAATAATAAAATTCAAGTCCATATTACGTGTAATCTCGACAAATTTATATAATTCAAATACTTCGTAAATAAAAACTTGTTTGCACTGACCTGAACAAGGATCGATATTGAGCGGAAGTAGATGCACACCTCGTCACGTTTCAGAGCGGAAAAGAGGTATCCGATCGATGATGATCGTATATACCGCTTGACACCTTTTTTCCGTTGTATATATTATGCAATCGACACACGTCTGCATTATTATTTGAATCTTTACTCTCATTAAAAGATTATTCTGTAATTTTTATTTTTTACTTTTAGAACATTTTTTTATTACCAATGTTTAATTAACTTATAATATAAGTGAAGTTAAAACGATTCAACTCTGTTATAATTAGAATACGCTCTGAGCTTTTCAACAAGAAATTTCATAGAAACAGCTTCCTGTTATGCTACATCACGTTCATCATAATAACGCCTACTTGAATTCCTAAAGATGAATCGAAACATCTGACCCTTCTGGAACGCAATCTTTCATAAAATAACGTAACAAGTTGAACAATGTATTAAACTCTCGCAATTCTTATTCTAATCCTTTTTCGACGTTTATAATTGTCGAGAAAAATATGCTTCGGATAAAAAAAAGTTCGTTTCACAAAAACGTGAATATTCTTCTTCTTCTTCTTCTTCTTCTTAAACTTCATCTCTTTCTCTACGTATATTGCATATATTTTCACTTTTATATCCATAAATCAGCATATATGATTCGACAAGTCGCATCAGACTAATGTGCATCGAAGCGAACGAGACAAAGGTTAAATTTTTTTTTTTTTCAAGGTAATTACGTAAGAGATATAAGTTCAATTCGACCCTGGCTCCCTCTCTTTCTCTTTCCAGCACGTGCTTCCGTACTTGTAGTACTTCTCGCGACTCGTCTGCTCGCTACTTCAAGGCCACGATCAATTTAGTCGTAGGAACCTTCGACATTCCTCTCAAAAAGAATCTCTGTTAGCTTTTTCCCTCTCCGTTTCTTTTCTCTTTTCTCTTTTTCTTTTTTATTTGGGGCCACACGACAAAACTAGCGAATATAATATTCGAGGACGAGGAAACCGTTTCGACGCACACGTGCACAAAGAGGATATATATATATATATAAAGAAGCATACATTGTGTACGATCGGTGTGCCTCACGAGTTTTGTCATAGCCTGAAAGCCAGACAACGTAACGGAAGGTCTTCTCTAATTGCGAGCGATAAGAGGACTCACCATGCAACTCGAAACACAGTAATCATATTTTCGTTTCTTGTCTCGTATTTTTTTTTCTTTTTTCTTTGCCTTGTGTATGCTATGATCAGCTTTTAATTATACTATATGGAATAATTATGTTATATTTTTCAATTTAATTTGTTCTATACTTCGGCGATCATATTTCATTTTACGAAAAACATATCGTTCTTATTGGACGAATTGAATAGAGGACTATCCGTGAATTGTAAGAGGGTTCATTGAGTTTTGAAAATGTTTTTATTTTTTTTACGGAAGCATTATATTCGTGTAATTATGAAAATTTATATATTTATGAACACGGCTTACGTTATTCTAAGATCTATAGTTTAAAGTTTATATTATTCTAAAGATAGAGAAATCTTTTGTTGCGAGTAGAAGAGAAAGAAAAGAACGTGGTTTAAAAAAAATCTATATCACAAAGAAACTAAAACTCCGCTTTGTTAATCTCCGACGGACGAAGTTGAATGCGTAATTTCCTACGAACACAAAATTATCTTGCTCTCTCTCTCTCTC